GCAGAGTGATGGCAGAAAGAGCCATGGAGAAAGCAAATCAACAATTAGTAACACCTTATATAACTCTCAAAGGGTCCCTGCTAGGCATTGATTTCAAGGATCATAGCTCACTGACTGTAGACATATGAGTGATAAACAGAGGAATGAGAGGATGGGGCTGGATTGCAGAGGCATGCAGGAATTTAAGAGAATGCCCTGGGTGGGGGTATCATCAGTGCAGCAAGGGGGGCAGGGTGGATGAGCGGGTTCACTCTCTAAAAAGGGTCTAGGTCTGAGCCAAGATTTTCCACAATGGAATAAAGGCTGAAAGGGGAGGCTAGGAGGATTAAACTCCCGCAAAACAGCTCTTAAAAAGCTGTTAGACTGCAATTTGGGCACAAAAACGCAGAATGGGAGAAAAGATAGTGAGAGTTGGAGGGAGGGAGGGCAGCTGGAATGCAACATGGTAGAGAAAGGATTGAAAAGAGACCCGGCCGCATGGAGGTAAAAAAAGCGGAGGCCATCTGCACAGGAGCAAACTGAAGCTAACAACGATCCAAGTTGAAGAAAAACACGGAGGTGCCGCTCACACATGTTGTGCATGTGTTGGGTGCCACAAGTTGGTGGGTGGTATCTGCTGTTAGCCCCCCCCCCCTTTCAAGCCCTCAGAAGTTCTGTAGGACTCATGTTAATGAGCTTAGTAGCCAAATCAAACATGAGATGGGTGCAGGGTGCCCTTTGGGACATAATCTTTGGTTCAGCCACCACAGCAATACCGTCTGTGTGTATGCACATGCATACACAAGCACACACGCAGGAAGAGGAAGACAAAAGAGCCTGACTCAAAACAAAGGGATAATAATTCCATACAGAGAGAAATGGAGCTTGCATTTTCCAGCCCGATTTAGAAGCCTTATCTAGACAAGGCACAATGGATGGCATTTGGGGAAAAGGGTTGTTTATTCCAAGCTTGACACTTTTTTGCCAATTGCCCTGTTTTGTGCTATTTTTTTTTCTTCGTCTGTTTCTCCTCCTCGTTTTCTCCTCTCTGGCTCTTATTCTGGAATACTCACACCAGCCAGGCTCAGAATTTTGCCTCCACCTCTAGGGCAAGAATGCAAGTAGATATTGGGCGCTATTTTTCAACATTTTGAATTATTACTGCAGGAAGCAAATTGTCCAGTCAAGTTGAGAGCACTTATATTTATAGAGCCCACAGGACTGGATGTTGCACTCTTTGCACTGGATGGGAATGAGGACATGGAATAAAATCAGGACTAAAATAGAGACTCTGCGAACGCAGCTTGGAGCCTCTTAAGAGTAAATGAACATATGCAGTTGAGTGTCATTGTAAAAGCACGGTGAAATGGACAGAGTGCATCGCCTGAGCTGTTACAAACCAGAGTGTCTGATGTTATTTGATGTTTTATTTGAAGGACCTGACTTTTTGAATGCTGCGTTAAATTGACTTATGGCCTGGAATCAAGTGGAATGGGTTTTGTGAGTATATGTGTGTGTGTGTGTGTGTGTGTGTGTGTGAGATTACTAAAATGCCGTAACAGATTATGACTGCGGTGACTTGGTGGTAAATGCACTGTACTGTGTATGTTAGTGCCACATTTTATCTAAAGGTCATCTGCTGTGCCATTATCTTTCCCAGTCTTTAGCATCATGGCCAGCACTTACCCATGCACATTTTCAGTGCATGCGCACACACACACACACACAAACACAAACAGACACACACAGTGACTGGTTCAATCTAATTCTATCAAGGCAGATGCCCAGCGGTGGACGGATCATTGCTGACATCTGTCCATCTCTTCCTGATCCTTCCTGATGTGAATGTATCTCAGTTCAGAGCAAGTGCAGCAGTGCCAGGGTCAATGTAAAGCTCTTTAACAGGTTGTGTCCAAGTCAGAGAGGCTGCTTTGCACTTAACTCTGACCATGTGACAGAAAACAGCAAAGTCACTGTGTCAAAGTAACTGCTAAATGTGCCCTCCAGTGCCTGACAAGATGCTTTCCCTATTAACACTGCCCCACCCTCATTCACACATTCAGACACACACACACACACTGACATAATCATACATAGCACATTTTCAGATAGGCAAACACACATACACACACTGGGCTCACACACAATCAGGCAGAAATGCACACACACATAAACTTAGCCCTATGTGCATCCAGCGGCGTGAAATGATATTCCATTTTGAGAAATCCGGATTAAAATGTATCAGGCCAAATGTGTTTTGACCTTGTTACTGGGGGATGGAAAAGCGTGCACACACACACACACACACACACACTCACAAGGTAAAAAAACAGAGTAAATGTTGTATTTCTGTGACAGGGACACTAAATTTAAACTGATTTTAAAGCAGCATTAAGCTCAATACATGTAGCACAACTAATTCACATTGTACACATTTACCTGCATAACATTTAAGAGAACTTGCCAAATAAAAAACATGTCCTCTGTCGAAACGTTGGGATTTCAAAGGGGTTTTAAATATTGCTTTTTTGAATGTGATTCAGATGCAGCCAACAATCCAGCTCCTCATTTGAGTCTGGCGGGAACACCGAAAGCTGTGGTGTGTTTGTGTACGTGCACGCGTGTCGATGAGACTAAAGCACATCAGGAACAAGCCTCTTCACACCCACAGCTCAATACTTCTTCTGACGGCCTCTCCTCCACTGCTTCTTTGTCTGGTTCTGTTCCTCCCTCTCTCCCCGTCAGATATGTATTCATGTAATTAAGCTGCTAATACACCGTCAAAGAATTGTCTAATTCAGCAAGGAGGAATTAAAGGAATCTGGCATGAGTCATTAGCCAGTCGAGATGTTCTGTTGAGCATTTTCAATAAGGGATCTAGAGAGCAATGAATCACTCATACGGTGTGAAGACATTCGCTATAGTGCATACTCTGTACTCTATATTTATACGACTGCATATGTGTGTGTGTGTGTGTGTGCATAGTGTTAATTGCCATATGTGAGCATGAGAAATTGTATGTGGGAGGGGTAAAGAAAAACAATTCACTGCATGTAATCCATCTAAACAATCCACCAATGCAGTGAATTATTACCCATTGTAAACATTTAGATACTCTGGGCAAGATACTTAATTGCAATCAATGTTTGTACTGCTGCAAGTACAAAGAGGAAAATCCCGACCTCGCTCTGCAAAGGGGAGGCATTGAAAATGCTCAATGGCTCATAAATGGCAGAATGCTGGGGACACGCAGGCAGACTTAAAAAAAAAAGCATTTTTGAAAGTATGACGAGAAAATGCCAGCCTTCGCTAAACGCCTAATAGCCTGAGCAAGAACACGTTTCACTTCTCATTGACGCTCTCAAATTGGTGTCTTTTGATCCACAGTGTTTGACATACACAGTCTACCTGCACCCACAGCTCAATAAGCTTTTCAAACTCATTGTAAAATGGTGTGTGGGAGACATTATTGATGGGCTAAAACTCATTGTTCCCTGATCCCTATTCTGTCCAGCTGTCTATTAACAACTCTTATGGCCGCATGTGAAAATAGATTTTGGAGGCAGTTGTCGGCAACGACAGCGGCCTGCGTCGCGTAGAACTCACGTTCTTGATGAGCTCACTGTTTGGCGTCTGTAATTGTGCTGTCGGGTGACAGAGCCAGGGGGCCGCAAAGGGAGAGGGGAGGCGATGGGCAGGGTTCAGTCCATGGTGCAGCCCGAGATGAAGTGGATAATTGAGTGCGGAATAAACACTGCCAACAAGCCTCGGAAGCCCCCCTTTGAAAAAAAATGGAGAGAATGGAGTGAGTAAGAGGGGGAAGAGCCGTGGAAAGAGAAAAAGGGGGTGAGAGAGAGAAAATCCCAGCTACCCTCTGGGGGGGAAAAGCTGCTATTGAAAAGCTATTAAACTTGCATTTAGCAGGATTGATTGGAAATGAAGAGGCCTATTAAAAGAGAGGGACAAGAGGACAATAGCGCGTCTCTGGCCGCCGTATGTTGCCCTCCTTTCAGCAGCTTTCTTTGCCGGGAGGGGGGGCCAACCCTGTCTGTTTAAGCGCTCCCACCAAGAGAAGTAGTTCGGGGGGGGCTTAGCACTGCCTGAATAGAACCCTCTTTATCTTCCTCTGTCCCCCTTCCCATCCTTTCTCCACTGAGCAACAAAGAAGGAGAGAAAGAGAATGAGGGAAGGTTTTTTCTAAGTCCTCTTCCAGACTCACACAGAAACCCCACTTAGATAACTAACCAACTGCCTCTCTACCCCCCTCCTCCCACCTTCTCCCGAGGATTAGTTACCTCTGGAGTGTTGCCATCATCTCCTACCAGTAGGGTATGTAATACTCAATCTTTAGCATGGTGCCACAAACAGTTGGAGCCGCGGATTCGTATTCTCGCTGCTTCTGTATGCCTGTGAAGGCAGGCCAGCCAATCCGGGGAGACTAAGGGCCGTACTTAAACACTGCAGCGAAACAGTGGCAGGTGTCTTTGCTGACTTTCAGCAGTCTCTAAACGGATGGGTCCCCCGGGAGCTTTAATGGAGTTTTGATTGTTTAACATCTATTTTTACAAAAAGCACGCTGAAATGATGGCAGATTTTCCCTCACCAGAAGTGTGTTTGCTTCATGTCAGTGAGCATATAACCATATGGTCTTGGGAAAGAGTTAAATAAGTTATGAGGTACAGCTGACTCTTCCTGTTAGAAGCTACATTTCTAGGGAAAAACATAATATTTTTGCCCGTCAGCTTTGTAAACTCTCTCAGCGAGCACCATGAGAACAGTAGAGTGAGCAGACCAGTTCACAAGAGTTTGTTCTCCTGCAGTCCTTTTTTTTCCCACAACACTTACAGTGCAAGTTTTCCTCTTGCTTCATCTCTGCTGGCACTGCAGAAACCTACTGCCATTACACTCTCTGAAATGCCATTAGCAGGGTTCTGCCTTCAGTACAAATTGTCCATCTACCATAATGAAAAATATTAATTTGAAGAGATTAGATATTCACACTGTGCTTTTTTTTCTCCCAGCAGCCACCCAAGCAGCCTACTTCTCCCAGCAGCCCCAGGACCAGGTGGTTGTGTCCGGTCAGTCAGTGACTCTTCCTTGTGTCATTGTGGGTTACCGGGGAATGGTACAGTGGACCAAAGATGGCCTTGCACTGGGAGGAGAAAGAGACCTTCCAGGTATTATCACAACCTCTTGTGTCTGTCTCCCTCTTTTCTCCACTGCTTTCTGTGTTTATTGCTCTCTCTGTCTCTGTCTGTCTTACTGCGATCAATGCCAGGTCTCATTAGAGACAGAGTCTCTCTCTGTCAACCACGGAGGTTTTACACAAATGAATCGTGAGAGAACAATGTACTGCAGACAGGCCGGCAACTGCTGCACACACCAAACTTTAATTTGTTGTTTAGCATTTTAAGGGTCTTGTAGGAAGGTGGATAATCAATTGGCTTTTGTCACACGCTGACATTTAAATGTGTGGTAGAGTCGAGAGAAGGTAGAGAAGCTTCCTCTCGACCTCAGCCACCCCATCTTTATTGTGTCTGTGCTTAAAGGACAGACTCCTCATACAGCAACCTCTCACGTGTTGCATTCCCAGCCCCACGCTGCTCCACTAACCCCACGGCTCAATGCCTGGCGCAGTGAGGTGCTGCTTGCTTTCATTTGTGTCTTAAAGAGCCGCGCCACGTTTTCCTCTCTTTGTTCGAGACACAAGTCTGTTCATTTTATAGTCCTTTCATGGTGTGTTTGATGCTGGTTGTTTGTTTATCTCTGACTCTGTTCTGTGCTGGCTTCACGCAGGCTGGACGCGCTATTCCTTAATGGGCGACCCGCTATCAGGCGAGCACAGCTTGCTGATCGATTCGGCAGAGTTGGCGGATGACGCGGTGTACGAGTGTCAGGCTACACAGGCGGGACTGCGCTCCCACCGTGCCAAGCTCACTGTACTAGGTAAGATACACAGCTCATACATGATCCTCACCACCAGCCCTCGTGCCAAGGCCTACAGGCTGGCAGCGCTTGGGACCAATCAGGGGAGTGTCTCCATCACAAAATACAGAAGTGTGTAGACAAACCTACAAATGTCCAACTCACAAAAAAATTATCTTTCAAAACACAACTTAACATGGACAAATAAAAAATTCATTGAAATGTACTTCCAAGTGATTTGCAATTCATAGAGTCATTTCTTATCATCCTCAAAGATAACCCTGTTGTAAATCTAGTTTCCTGGTTAAAAAATCATGTCCTGAAAGCATAATTCAAACCAAGGAAAGCTCAGCCATGAGATCCAACCAGAAAATAAGGAAACCCCTCTGCTCTCAGAAGCGATAATCAAGGCTGTGGACGTCTTGGATAATGTGATTGCTGCAGTCACAAATGACTTGCGTAGTCGCTTGAAAGTCAGGGTCTGCACAGTTAGCACATTTTACAGTGAGCCACAACATTTGTCAACCGCAAGGCGCTTTTTACATTAACGTGATGTGAGTGATCTACTTCTTTACACAGACGTTCGGAGGTGGGGGGGGGTTGGTGAGGAGGATGGGGGGCCAGGTCTTGTGGGAATTGGAATCGCCAAAGCACTGCTGGCATCTGGTGGCATGTAACGGGATATCACTCCATTAATTAGACCTGTCATTTGTCCATACTGTATATTCACCCACACGTACACGGACTGAGAGGGGAGACTCATCGGGAACAAGTGTGCAGGCTTGATGCTCAACACAGCCCTTTCATCACAGAGGCTGCTGTTGAATCTTCAGTATCTGTTGCTGCCACGGTGTATTCTGCCTGTATCATAGTGTCTGGGTGAAGAGCGGTACACACAGGGCACCATGAAAAGGAAAGCACATCGAGCTCACAAGCAGAACGTGGCAGCGTTTCAACTAAACGATTTGATTCAGACAGCTCGGCCCTGTCCATCAGCTTGCCTCTCCGCATCGTAACTGTCAATGCTGCACACAGCAGCACAAAGCAGTGCGGCCATCACATGCCTACACACAGCCACAAACATGTTTGTGTGGGGGCTGCAGAGAAAGTTGATAAAAGTGATACATTAAAAACACCCACAAAGACTGTTGGTTTCTAAATATTATCTGCATTTTCATAAAGATAAATGAACTGAAAAAGAATGAAATCAGTTGCATGGCTCAGGAACCTGCAATTTGTGTTTATGTTTGGACATAAGGAATGTTAAAGAGAAGTTTTCTTTTTTCTGTGAATTCTTTATGTGTGCACATGCCTGTGTGTGTGTGTAAATCATTGTGGCCAGATGAGACCAAAGCAATCCTGCACAGTCAAAGGAGTCAACGGCGGGAGTGCAGTCAGGGGAATCGGCATGGAAATTAAAATCACCTAGCACTCGGATTCCATTAGTGTCCGTGCCGCGGCAGCGGAAGGACCTCTGACAATTCAGATACACACAGTGAAATTGGTTCGGTGGAGGGAGCGAGAAAGGCCAGCACAAACCCCATGTTTATGCCTTCTCTTATTGGTTGGGGAGATAGACGCCTTCATCAGGGGTGGCACGCTTGGCTTGCCAGTGGTGCGTGCAAAACCATGCAAATAAATGAACAAATAAGCAATTCAGTTGAAACATCACTCTGCAACTGTAAGAGCAAATAGAGTAATAATGCTAGTCCCAGGAAAGGACATAAATAAGGTTGAGTGTGTTTTTGTTACTTGTTTTTTTTCTCCTGCCTTTAACTCCACCTTGTTAAAACAGACACTCGGTCATGAGAAGATATTGTGTGTCTCTTTTGTTGTTATGTCTTATTGATGCTGAACTAAGAGCAACACATGCTGACTATCAGTGTGACTTCTTTGTGGCTCTGTGCTGGCCTGGAGTTTCGTTTTTTTTCTTTGTTTTGAGGGTTATGTTTGTTCTGGTTTACAGTTCCTCCTTCAGACCCTGTGGTGGAGGGCGGCCCCGTTGTGCGTCTTAAAGCCTACACACCATACAACCTCACCTGCAGAGCCTCAGGAGCCAAGCCTGCTGCTGAGATCACCTGGTACAGAGATGGGGAGGTTATGGACACTGCGGTTTATTCCAAGGTACAGTGAGAACAGATCATTATCATTCAATCTGTAACACCCACGCTATATTGCAAAGCGTAACAGCGGGCGGAAAGAAGTGCAAAGCTGTTCAAAACAGAAATATTTTCTCTTAGGGTATAATCCCCCCTTTCCTCTTTCTCCCACTCTTCTTTTATTTTCTCATCTTTCTTCCGTGGTCTCTCAGGTTTTTTTCCCCCCATCACCACCCTTCTCTCACAAGATTTGTTCCCTCACTCCCTGCAGTCCCCCTCCCATTCGCTCACGCCTGACACCCCCCATTCCCTCCCCCCAACTTGCTACCCCTCCTCCTCTGCCTCACCCTCCTCACTCACTAACCAACACCCCCCTATCCCCTCCTTGTTGGCACTAATGCCGCGACACTACAGCATAACTGGAGCATGCTAAAGCTCAGACAGGCATGAGTGTTTCATACAGTAGAGTTTCTGCAGAGAAGAAATCACCCACAACAATGCAGAAACACAATCGGGATGAGCCGGAGCGTAAGCCTGCCACGGCTGGGAAAGTGTCACATTTTTCATGCTCTCTGACCACGCTAAATGACGCTAAACGCCACATTTAAGGAGGTGACAGGCTGCAGTGAGAAGGGGGGAGGAGAGAAGAGGAGAGAAGAGGAGAGGACAGGAGAGGAATAACAGAGATGAATGAGTGTGGAGTTAATTGGTGAGATCGTTTCGTGAAAAAAAGAATTACTAACCTTAAGGAGTGAGACAGTGGGCAGAGAAAGCTTTGGCCGAGTGAGGGGTGGTGACAGGGACTGATGTGATTTGAGCATGAAAACACTTTTTGTGTGTCTGGCTGAGGAAGTGGAAGGCCTGGTCCATTGATTCGACTGTCCAGGGAAAAGGCTCAGCTTGTCCTTGCTCCTTCCCAAAGACGTGTGACACTTCTTCTTCACTGTCACCACCAACCCCCCTCCCCCCCAAAAAACAGACACACAGGCTCCTTCACCATCACAGTGTTTTTTCCTTGTGTGTGTGTGTGAAGAGAGGAGGAAAGTGAGAGAGCAGTGAGCCATATCCTCAGAATCTACACCTTTCCTCACTTAGGCGTATTGATTTCTGTGAGCAGTAAATAGATTTAAAAGATGATGACAAATAAGGAGCGCTGACAGGGAACACTCTCAGAAATGTGGGAACAGCACAATATCCCCCGCTGCATCATAAAATATATGATTTAACTGCCATGCCAAAGAACAGGATGGCAATTTAAATGGCTCACACATGAAAAAATAAGACCCGCAGTGTTACAGCGATATTCCTAAGTTGTGCGATCACAAATGGAAAGTGACTTACTTTTGTGACACTGAGCTCATTTTAAGCACTCCCCTACTGTAATGGAGTCTCTTTTGAAAATATAGTTTGTAAGCTGCTGCTGCTTGGACGTGAAGCAAACATCATTTAACATTGTTGCCTCGATTCTGCAGACACCGATGGAAGATGGGAAGAGGGAGACGGCTGTCAGTATGCTTCCAATCATCCCAGAGGATAGCGACTCTGGCCGCACCTACACCTGCAGGGTTCTTAACCCAGCTGCTCCTGCTGGACGACAAACATCAATCACTATCAATGTCCAACGTGAGTGTCCAGCTTGCTTATGAAAATGCCCATCACAGAATTGTAGCAGAGTGCATGCTATTTGCACATTCAATTCTGTTGCACTGTTGATATGTAAATGATAGAAATTACATGCATACATGTCATTATAATGAAAGTTGTCCTGTGCACAGACCCTCCCTCTGTGACGCTGTCAGTCCAGCCTCAGACCGTGACCGAGGGAGCCAAGGTTCTCTTCATCTGCTCTGCTTCAGCCAATCCTGAAATCACTGGATACAGGTATCAGTCCTTTGCTTCTATCTAAATATTTCACTCTGATTGCACCCTGCACACAGAGCCATCAGACATTTCTCATCTAAAATGTCACCGTACAATCGGTTAACAATTCCAAGACGTGATAAGCTGCAAACACGCCGTCTAAGTAGAGGAGACACCAAGCAACGTGTTAAGTAGATACGTGAATACGATGAGCTTAATGGGCTGCTTGATTGGCAGCGTTTGATTGTGATTGGCACCGACCATTAATCAACTAATAGCTATGCTGACACGCCAGGCTAAGTACCTCCCCTGAACTAATGTGACTGTAAAATGTGATTATTCATCCATCCCAGATGGTCGAAAGGAGGACTTCCCATCTCGGAGGCAAATGGGGACAGCCTGGAGGTGATGGTGGACTACTCTTACTTCACAGATCCTGTCTCCTGTGAGGTGTCCAACTCTGTGGGCAGCACCAACGTCAGCACCCTGGTCGATGTCCAATGTGAGTTTAACTTGAGGCAAACACTGTGGCCAGGCTGCCTTTTTGGAGATTTTCTAGAGGTGCATGTTTTTGTAAAAGCAGCCTCTTATTGATTGTATCCGGCTGTCTGTGTTGCTTTATCCTAGTTGGCCCCAGACTGCTGTCGGAGCCAAAGCCAATGACAGTGGATATAGGGATGGATGCATCTTTTACTTGTGCGTGGACTGGGAACCCTCCCCTGACCCTGGCATGGACCAAGCAGGGCTCCAGCGTGGTAAGGCAACAAACACTCGCCAACACCTCATCTTTGTGGTAAAGCTTCAACACCATCCCTCCAGAGAGAAACATTCACACATGGCCTTGAGGCATGAATCCCTCACACATTTCCCCCACACATTCTTTTTCAGGCTGAATCTTCAACAACTCCTCTCACCACACTCCCTACGGGCTAAAGCCTCTGGCAGAAAACTGTCTGTCCACTGACAGATTCATTCAGCATTGTGACATGCTGTCATAACTCAAAGTCAATCAATCGATCGATCAATCAATCAGTCAACAAGTGTGCCAGGGTGTGGTTCAAATCAACTGAATTGCAACATATGCAGCAACTTTTCCAGTGGCACTTCTGACGTTTTCTGACGTTAAAAAAAGGCCTGACCACTCGAGTATCCATTTCCTCAAAGTCAATTTCGTAGGTGGAACAAATGGGACATTTCCACCTTCAATTTATTTCATCCTGGTAAAAGTCCTTTAGCGCACACACCATCAGTGATGACATCCCATAGGAGCTTCTCTCCTGGCAACTAATATAATTTCTGAGGTGAAGCTGGAGAAAACTCCCCCAGTAAAGAATGCTGCGGGATGGTGTAAGCGATGCTGTCATCTCAAAGAGTGAACGCTCTCAGCCCCTCGGAGGAAAACGCGCAGACATTTTTCTAATCCACCCACTGCCACTGTTCCTCACACATCCACGAGTAATGGATTAATTGGGTTACTCTGTAAGTGTGTTGAAATAAAAAATTGGAGAGAGTGAGAGGAGGAGGTGGAGGGGCGCGGGGGGGACGGAGAGTGGGGGTAAATGGATTAATCACAGCTTGATGGAATGACAGGATCAATGAGCTAAGCAGTGAGTGAGCGTAGCAGCTCTAAAGGCTAGGGCCCACTCACGCCATAGTACGTTGCGCTCTGTCCCCACTGTTTAATTACAACAATCTCCCCAGCAGCACGGCCACTCAGCGGTGGCTGGAGTGCTTAATGTTGTGATTAAAGCTCTTCACAATGGAATTAAACTCAAACCGCCGGCATTTGTTACAGTGGTCAGCCCACCTCTGCGCCGCCTCTGCAATGAGCGGGCCACTGATAAAGGTCCCAGTCGCCTTTGTCCGCCTCTTCTCCCCCAGCGCCTTGCTCTGTTCTCTCGTTCTCTCTCTCTATGAAACACATTTCTCACTTTTCTCTCTGGATGTCTCACTAGGTGCTCAGTAATGGTAACACCTTGCAACTGAAGGCTGTTACCCAGGAAGATGCTGGAACTTACACCTGCAAGGCCATCGTACCTCGGATTGGAGTTGCAGAAAGAGATGTCACTTTAACTGTAAATGGTGAGTGGCTAGTATCTTGTTACTTGCCTTTACGTTTGTTGGGATCTGCCTAATAAGTAGAATTAAAATTGCTATCGGAAAATGTATTATTAGAATTTTAAAAAACAACCATTTTTTTTATTTCTCTTCTCTCTTTGACTCGTCTTCCAGGTCCACCTATCATCACAGCGGACGCCACGCAGCACGCTGTGAAGCACTCCAAGGGCAAGCTGGAGTGCCGGGTGGAGAGCAGCCCCCCGCCTGATAAGATTGTAAGTGAGCTGCTTATTTGTGTTGCGCGTCATTCACTTCTCTTCAAGAGCTTCCATGTTCATTTTAGCCACACCCACATGAGAGCAAACACTCAGTGGAGCTTTACCCCTGACCCCACTTTCACACCTCTGCACCAGCCTCATCTCCACCTCACACGCCAACAAAGGCATTCACACACATATTCACAACTGTAATTGCTCAGACATTGACTGGAGAGATTGTAGAGTTTGGGGGGAGCTGTAGGAGACCAGCTTCCTGCAGGTTTCAGCAAAACCACATTCAATTAGCGGCCCAAGAGGCATCACTCTTCTGACCCCGGTGAACTGCTGAACGTACGCTGGGCTGAGAGAGGATAATTAGGGTGTGAGGAGGAGTGAGAGACAGGTGCCCCGCTGGCCCCGCGCTAGAGACGGCAGAGAGGAGCCTTATTTCACAGTGCAGCTACCTAACCCTCCTTAGGCCTCACCTGCAGGGCAGACGTGGGAGGCAGCTTAAACATGAGCCTGTGAGCTGTGTCAGCCAAGGAGCACGGTAGAGGTCGGCAGAGAGAAAGCAGAACAGAGGGAGAAACTGGTGTTCAGTCGGCCACCGGCAGGGATCTAAGGATAAGCAGCTGAGACGGACTCTGCTTTGCTCACAGATGAGGAATTCTTCACAGAAAAGTGACTTACTCCCTGTTGACTGTCCTTTTGCTCCTCTCCGCAGGTGTGGACCTTCGGAGACACGAGTCTGTCCTCTGGTTCCTCCGGTCGTTACTCAGTGCAGACAGTTACCAGCGACCACGGCGTCCTGTCTTCTCTGGTGCTGTCTGAGATTCTGGCTCAGGATTTCCAGCTGCGCTACAACTGCACCGCTTGGAACCGATTCGGCACGGGCACCGCCCTGGTCACACTGAAAGAACAAGGTACGCACCGACTGAAGTGTCAATGTCCACCATAGCCCCTGTGCAGAAGTTATAGTGATGTGAGGAAGGGGGCCAGATTGGGTGAAAGCAGTGCTCCTGCCTTGTGCTTATCTTAATTATACTCCCTCAATCGATATGATTTAATCAGCAGATGGTTCCTTTAATGAATATGTTTGCCCCATAACATAGATATTGATTGGGGGACAAAAGTCAATTAGAGGAAGCCACATGTGTTTGTGGTTGGACTCATATCCTCTGTCACTGTCAAAGAGCCGAGCTCAGCATTTCGGGCTCCAGCCTCTTAAAGTGAACTTAGAATTAGGCAGTAGTACCATTACACTGATGCCAGTGGAAGCCTTTGTTGCAGCAGGCACCAAAAATAAGGTCCTCGCCAGTAATTTACATCAACGAAGCAGAGTGGGGTCTCCAGAGAAATGGGCAGGGGTATCTCCTGGAATCTCTAATTAGATTACTGTCTATTGCTTCATTGCATGTCAGGCCTTGTTACCCTTCTTTCTGAGAGATTAGAGACAATGGCCAGGCTGCGGGATGTCGGTTTGCCCGTGTGAGCATACGCTCGCTGTGAGCAGGTCAGGGCTCACTGTGGATGAATTTATACAGACGCTGACGTTTCTGGGATTAGCAAAACAAATGAATGGATCTATTTCTTTCTTTTGCTCTGATCTGTTCGTTCTTGATGCTGACACTATTTCTCATTTCATCCCTTCTCTTTTTCCTGACAACTATCTACCCCCACACCCGCCACATTTTTCCCTCTATTACTGTTCTTGTTACAGAAGCCTTGCCTATGTTGATAATTGTTGGTGGAGCAGTAGGTGGAGGCTGTGTCCTGCTCATCTGCGTCATCACTCTGGTCTCCCTCTGCTGCAGGCACACAGGCAAAGGTGAGCTCAACGGTTAGTATGGGCAAGAGACTCCTTCGTCAATTCTTCCAATCAAACATATTCTTATTTGTATACAAAAAACTGTTTTTGTTCAATTTTTGTGCTATTTTGATGGAAATGTTGATATATTTGTCAATCCCCGCAGGTAAGAGGTGTACTCGTCTTTCCAAGAGTGACATCAGAGTTCAAATCGTTCATAGTGATCACAACGCTACACGTGGCAACGATGATGAGGAGGATGTCAAAGAGCCGATGGTAAATTTCTTTGTTCACTTCCTCTGTATATCAGATGTCTCTATTCATGATTAGCAAAAATTCACTTTAATTCAGTAATATAATGCTAATTTTCGTTTTGAACTTATTCAAGTGAGGTCTTGTTCGTCCTAGTAAATCTTCAGAAATGCTTGGTCTTCCCTCAGGCTCCAAACAGCAGCGAGTCTCCTGGGACGTCGCGAACAGAACACAGTGACCTTCTGGAGGAGGAGGAGGATGAACGATCGGATATCAAGGTAAAACTTAAAACACTTACCTGAGGAAACTCTCTCAAAATAGCAACCATGTGTTATTTTCATCATGTTACATGTTACTGTAATGATTTATTCTCACCATCACTCTTACAGGACCCCACCAATGGCTACTACAATGTCCGGGGCCATGAAGATCGCCACATCCGCGGCAGTGGGTTCTCTGAGTATGTGCCCAACACTCGCCCAGTCTACACTCCATCGCAGCTGCCCTCCCCCAGCCCAATGTATGGTCAGCATGGCACACAGCCTCGAGTCTATGACTTCTCCCACCGATACGCAACCACCACTGCGGGCAGAACCTCATATGAACAGCAGCAAGCTGCCCAGCAACAGCCTGCACAGGCGACCAGCATTTATCCCACTGACCCACTCTACAGTGGCTCTGCTTACTTACCTGCTACTTATGGTCGCGCCTTCACCAGCTACGTTAAACCCGCTTCCTATGAGAAGGTGGATGCGTATGACCAATCAGATCAGGCCAGCAAGGTGTCCAGCTCGTCTCGCTTCTCTTATGCCTCCTCACAAGTGTCCTCCCAGCAGTCCGACTATGGCCGGCCCTCACAACGAATGCAGACTCATGTCTGATGGACAAAAAAGAAAATGGAGAAAAGATGATTACGGGAGCAGCGAGTAACTATTGTCACCTCCACATACTCGTGTGGCTTGACTAACATGAACAGAGACTTTCTTTACTTGGACGGTCCTTAAAGGACAAGTTTGGACAGTATTTTTGGAGGCAGTTGTGTGATTTCGGTTATGGGATAACCAACCTGTTGTGACTGATGGCAGGATCTACAATAATGCAAACTGTAGAGAAACTGCTGAGCTGGAGAATTCAGCAGATTGTGGTGTTCAAGTCAAACTTCTGATTCCAGTGTGATACCTCGACAGGTTACAACTCAAACCTGTGGAGATATTCAGTCAGTGCAAGAGCCAACTAGATAATATATCAAATGAATATGGGTGGCCAAAACGACAGGGGTAGATGGTTACCTGCATTCCAGAGTTTACTTTGTGTCAACACAAAAACATGACCTCTAAAATACTTTGAACCGAGACCATCTAACACATATTTGAAGGAAAAAACTGATACGAACAAGCTATTTTTGTCTCTCATTCAGTGTTTTGTTGGCATGCGATAGGAATTCTAAGCACATTTGTGTCTCGATCATCGACAACAGACTGAGCTGTACACAGAGACAGACATAAACTATTCTGCACAACAGGCTAGCTCTACTGACCAACAAGTGCTACAGGCACTGTATGTAAGAAGAGTTGAATCATCGCTGGAATACTTCTGGCCTGAGCTGTATTCCTGGAGCTTCTTCTGATGATAACCCCTAACATGTCGGACTTAGTGGTGTTGCTTACCGGTGGATAAAAGAAGGAGATGTGAAGAGAATGTGTATTTTAGCCTTCGTTCTCATGAAGGACTGTATGTTAACTGTGTGTTTTACCAAGATGGACAAAGTAAGGCCATGAAAACCCAAAGATGGTGATAACTGTACAGAGGGGGAAACGGGGGCTGGGGGCAGAATACTGCTGTCTGACTCCGGATACTGTTTTCTGCGGTATTTTTCGATTGTAAAATGAAGAGTCTGCTTTTACCAGAACAATCAAAAGTGGTGGTTTTGAAAATGGCGGCAATCTTGAACTTGAAATAAACTTGAAAATGAATGCAGCGTCCTAGGCAGGCTCAGGCGGGGGTGGGGGTAGGTAAGACGTTTAAGGCAGTTCTGGTGTAGACCACACACTCTCAAAAGTTTTACAAATCAATCAAATTGTCTCAAGATGTTTACAAGAAACAGTACTACCCTGAAACATGAAGTATCTGTACAAATGGCTGAGCCCATACTTTCTCTCTGTTGCATGCAAATGATGTGTCTAGTGAAAATCTTCAGCGTTAATATTCATGTCCATTTCATGTTTGACACATTGGTTTGTGCACCTGGCCCAGTTGCATTCCTCTTCCTGGATGTTTCAGTATGAATGCCTGTACTGCCATTTGTCGACAAAGCTGTTACCAGGCAGCCTGATGAGAGAGCAAATGTCTACTTCAAAGTGAAGAGGCAAAACATCATCGCTTGTCTTTATTTTTATATTTTATATAAGCCTTAATGTACAGCGTGTAAGCTGCTCTATTGTAAAGTATCTTTATATACATGTCTTTATCTTAGTTGATTTATTTGGCACCATGGATTTTCTTCTCCGAGTTGTTCATCAATCATTGAATGCAGTTACTATGCTTTTTCTTGGAACACGACTAATTGCCATTTGTTTGTTTATTCTTTTAATAATGTATTCAGAATTTTATTTGCTAAAAAGGAGCTATCGTTGCTTGTACCTTTGTACACATATTTATATTTAAATAAAACCATTTCCGATAAAGAACTGGTTGGTGTGAATCCTGAGAGTTAATCAGCCTCGTGAGCGGCTTCGTTGGGCACGGGGAACAGCGACAAACAAAGCTTCCCATGTAGCAACAATGATGAATACATAAATTAGCGGCACTGTCTATGTTGATTTTCCTATTCCCCCAGTGGTGCGCTGTTTTTAATGAAGACAGATGAGATAGCGGAACCCCCACTGTATGTGTATCCACCTCCTGAAGCCGACGTGCCCATCTTGTAGTGTAATAGGATAAAGCTGTGACAAAGGTAGGTATTATCTGACAATATGAGTTTGTCTTGTCACCTCTGTTCCCCAGGTAGGCACGCTGCTCACGACGGGGAGGAGAGGTACATGCTCATTACAATTCTATTGCGAGAAGGGACAAGGTCTCACAAGACAAACATTTAATGTGCATAACGCAATACAAAACAAGACTCCGTCAAATAGTTCAGATAACGCAATTAGATAAAAGATCTTTATTATCATCACTCTTTTGTATAAACCATATTAAAACATAAACAAAGACAGGGTATGAAGTACAGTGAGTCCATGTTGGTGTATGGTGCTCATGAAAAAGTCTTTTAAAAGTTGTGTTTACTCTCTATTTTCTGGAAAATTTATATTTACATGAACCTTGAGGCTCAATGGAGTTAGTAAAGATCCACTGAGCAAATTAAACTTTCTTCTGAATTACATAACAATACTTCTACATATCTTTGGTTCACTCATTCAGGATCTAATATTTCCAGGATCAGTCTGATGAAGGCAAATAGGCTAAAATACCCCGCCCCCCAATGATCCTGACCAAATGTTTCTGTTAAGGTGTACAATTAAAAATACTAAATCTTGACCCCAGATAGATTCAGATTCAGATCTTAAGGCAACTTAAAACAACTCGAGCTTCTTCTCTCCAGTATCAGATCAGAATTCCCCCGGGGACCCTGCTGGAGGTTTTGTCTGTTTTAGCCCACCAGCTACAAACCTGATGTACTTAACATCACTGTTGACCATTTTCCACAGCAAACTGTGGGATTTAAGATTGAGTAGTGGATCTTCTACCCTCCAGGCAGCTTCTGATTTTCATTTATTTTAGTATAATATGAAAATGCCCCTTAATGGATTTCAGCATGTTTTTTTCTCTTTTTTTGTTTTTGGTTTGAGGTCTGTTATCATCACATGGTATGTACTACTTTTTCTGCAGGTTGATATTTATACTTGAAAGGATAAAAATGGGGACTAAAAAAATCCATGCTGTGCTATGGAAAATGGCGCTGATGTTAAGAGTGTTGCAGCAGATAGACACATTAGAATTGTTTAAGATCTAGGATTAAGAAAAACCTGAACGTTTAAAGCTATCAACAGCATGAGCCCATTGGCAAAGTGCAATATTCACCGCAGCCGAAGAAGATATTAGATATTAATACTAAGTGTTAAAATTTTCTTTTCAGGGAATGTTCAGAAACTATAAACTAAAAATGTTAAAATCCTGCATTAATCTTAAAATGTTGCATTTTACAAATACTTGGAAAATGATTCCCAGAAAATATATATTAGATTTTTTGTACGCAGGGGAACATGACGTGATTGATGTGGGCAAATAGCACTTCACAGATTTACACCTTTAAAATCTATATACAAAGTGTGGGTTGCTGTGGTTTATGCTTGTCTGTGTGTGTATGTATGTGTGTGTGAAAAAGGGGGTTGGCAACCAAATAAAGTGCTCTGAGTCACTGCAGTGAGTGGCTGGGTCCATGCAACAGTTTCCTGATACTGCTGTTGAATGAAAACATCTTGGAGAGCGTTGAAGTCCTGAATCAGACTCAAATGTCCCCTCTCCATTATTTTTGGCACTCTGACTTTGTTCCCTGCTCTGCATCCCTCCCTCTTCCTCACAGCGTTGTCAAATTCCTGTCTCGTCTTTGATCCACTGCCTCAGCTTGGTGACGCGTGAGTACACGCCGGGCTTGTTTCGACGAGCACAGCCCTCACCCCAGCTCACGATGCCGGCCTGGAACCACTTCCCACTCTCCTCGAAGCACACCAGGGGGCCGCCGGAGTCTCCCTGGTGAGCACATTCAGGGGAGACTGGTTATTAGATTGGGTTTGGAAGTGAGAGCACAATAATTATTTGGGTGTGAGAACCCATCTATCTCAGCCCTTTGGTTCAGTCTTTGTTCTCTGAGATTTAGTTTTACTGGTCTCACCTGGCATGCGTCAACTCCTCCTGACAAGAATCCGCTGCAGAGCATCCTGGAGGTGACTTGGCCCTCCGTGACCACGTTACACACCGTGTCGTTGATGATTTTCACCGACGCCTTCTGCAGCAGCTGTGACTTTTGACCTGCAAGAGCACCACAATGGGGTCATTGCTCTGCCATGTGACCCCCCGTGTTTTTCTCTAACATCAAAAGGTGTTAATGGGCTGGATTACTGCAAGCAAATGAAGGTTTAAGAGGCTTTGCAGGAGAGCCGACGTCGTCTTGATATATGGATATGGATATCGGCTTAATAGAAAAGAGCAGATTACGATGAGATGAGATATGAGAGAACTGGGAGGCAGGGTTGAGCGGAAGAGAAGTATGTGATGACAAGAGAGATAAAGAAGTGGTAGAGACATTAAAGGAGAAGAAAAAGACAGGATGGGATGACAAATAAAGAGAACAAGAGAGTGGCAGACAGGAAAAGAAGATGAAGAACAGAGATGAAGAGCTCATTGTGAAAAAGAAAAGGGGGATGAGTGGGACTTCTTAATTTTGATGCCAAATGGATTCGCTAAAAAGAGAAACCCAATTGTAGAGTGGGTGAACCTTGATTCAGCAAAAAAAGTTAAAATATTCACATAATAATGATAATAATAAGTCACAGAGAAAAACAACAAAATAAACTAGAGCAGCTCTAAGCAGAACCATCAATTCATGCATAATACCTCCTTCTCGGAGTGCGCCCCAGCCTGTGACCCAGCAGGACATGCCTGCCGGGAAGACGTGGGAGGAAGACGGTAGGCAGATGGGTTGGAGGGTGTTGGTGAACTGCAGCGGCTCGCTGAGCTCCAGCAGTGCAATGTCGTAGTCATAGGTCATGGTGTTGTAATCTGGGTGGGAGATGATCTTCTTCAGCGGGCGGCGCTGTACGCCATCCTGCTTGTACTGGTCTTGCATGCCGCTGTAGGTCTGCCAGTTGGAGGCCACATGGTTCCTGGGGTAGGGTGCAGAATGTCACAGGGCAGAGGTCATGTTTTCTTTACATGCATGAGGCGGCACGGGTGGATGCAGTATGTGTAGAGTCAAATACAATCCAACATAACATGGTATTTTTAAGGATACATGATTTGTTCACTGTTTAGACTCAAACACGATCAAAACCTCTCAACTAAAGCTGAACGTCATGAGCCTCACGACAGTTGCATGATGTTGTAAACAATATACATGCAGTGACACAGTGCATGTAAAGTTATATCCTAATTAGAAAGAAAACCTTTGTAGTGGCTTCCATATGTAATCTGGTAAATGCCCAGATACTAATTCTGAAAAAATTAAAGTTCCCCTGGTTTGTATAACAAACATCAGCACCAGCTGTGAATGTGTGAAAATGGACATGTTTCCCTGCTCAGTCACTACAGAAGTGGCTCAGGTCGTATAGCATGGTTAGTGCTCCACCTACAGGACACTATCTTGAATGCAGCTGCATGGTTTCATGGTTGAGTGGTATTTTCAGCCCACTCATCTAAAAAATGTTAATTAATTTGATGAATAATAAAAAATACTGGAAATAATTCAAGTTTATATCTTTGAAGGGAATCTGTTTCCTTCCTGATGTTTATGTGTGGATGTTTCTGCTGTGACTCACGCTGGATCGCCAGTGACAAAGCAGTGGGACGCTGAAAGGAGCCATCTGTCTGAGATGATGGAGGCGCCACACACGTGTCCGTAGGTCAGGAAGTGAAGGCTGACCTGCCAGGGCCACTCCCCCAGCTCAGCGTTCTGCCCTCCGACGATCCGGTTCAGCTTATAAGGCCTGGTGCCACAATCTGACATGTAACAGAGAATATAGAGAGAGAGGATGTGGCGCTGAATGTGGGAGTGAAAAAGTAGGTGAGACTGGCTTGACTGATCAGAGACGAAAATCAGAAAATGAGATTGAGTTGACTTGAAGTCATCATATAGCATATTAGCTGATCAAAAAAAGGAAAAGATACAGAAATACCCTGAGGCTTCAATGGGAGGAAAAAAACAAAAACTTCAGCGATGACAAGAGCAGCTTTCAAAGAAAAATAAAATAAATAAAGCAGTCAAGGCCTGGGGCTTTTTTCTAATAGACAGCCCAGTGCGCAGCAGCACCCGGCTCCACTATAATCTGGTTTGAATGACACTTAAGAGATAAGATCCACTTTCAGACGTTTTAAAAAATTCAGAAAGCTGAGAACTACGAGTGGGAAATAACTTTTTCTTACCACACTGGTCCTCGTCGGAGTTGTCAGAGCAGTCTTTGACGCGGTCGCATTCAGCATTCACCTTATTGACACATTCACTGTTCCTGCACTTGAAGCTGAAGTCAGAGCAGATACCCGGGGCTACAAGTGAAGCAGAGACAGGTCCCCAAAATCAAAACACTGTGTATTTCAGTCCAAGTTTAACCAGTAAAATACTGAGCAATTAGCGAGGCTTCACAGAGATGCTTCAACGCTCCATGGCTACTGACTGAGGAGCAGATGGCATTGATTGGTCGTATTGATCTTAGTTCAGGGTCTAATATTCATCTTTATTCACAGAAGTGAAAATCAAAGAGGGAATGCAAGATTGCCCTTTGTGCACGTGTGCATGAAAATGTGTGTGAAATTGTGAGAGGTGAGTGAGGTTGTGGTTATGTGCCTCCAATAACCACTGCAGTTTCAGTCTTGTTTCCCGACTCATGAGGTCACAGTGACATTTGACAACTGGAATCAGTACATCTTTGAGTAGACGTTACAACTGGTCAAAATCTAAAGAAATTCCATGAGATGTCATGTTCAAGAGGCCAAAAACTTGTTTTGTGTGGCCACCGTAAATCTAATCAGTTAACCTGTGAGTCTAAGTGAACATTTATACCATATTTAAATGTATTCTGTCAAGAGGTTCATAAGATAAAATGGGATTTGCATGCTCAAGTGACCTTTGACCTTCAACCACCAAAATTGAATCAGTTCGTCTTTCAGCCCAAGCGATTGTTTGAACCACATTTCAAGGAATTGGCTTTGTGTGTTCCTGAGATATTGTGTTCACAAGAGCACAGTATCTGCTCCCCTGGCTGTTGCTGAAGCATAAAAATACCATATCTAAAACTCTGATCATCCACTGGGCTGTGGACGGGTGTTATTATTTAATGGTTAGTGTAACATGCTTATAAATGACCATGGAGGAAATTTTCAAATGCGTGGCTGCCGAAGACGATGACCCGGCTACTTACAGGCTTTACAGGAGGCCTCGTCGCTTCCATCAACACAGTCCTTCTTACTGTCGCACACGACATCCTGGGGCAGACACTCCCCGTCCCCACAGCGCCACTCGTTCTCCTCACAACCTGGAGGTGAAAACACAGTAATGAGGAAATTATGATAAGATAAAGATGAAAACTTGAACAAGGCGACAAGGCAATAAGCTTCAGAGCGACATTAGTGGTGCAGCCATGGTGGACATTCACATCTGTCTCCATTCTTCTTACGTGTATTACACATGATTAAGAGCCTGGACAGATGCTGGGCAAATTGGGCAAGGCTTCAAACAAACTCCATTACTGATAGAATAATGAGTGCACACGGACCAGCAGTCAGTGACCAGAGCATTAGTACTGATGTTTCTTTAATGTTAGCACAATTAGCATAGCATTAGATGGGCTTTGTATCCCCTGAAGAGCACTTTAAAGAGAGAAGGGAATACTCACTGCAGCCTTTCTCATCGCTCCAGTCTCCGCAGTCGTTGACACGGTCGCACACCCAGAGCTTGGGTTTGCACAAAGAGTTGCCACAAGCAAACTGGTCTTTTTCACAACCTGACGGGACGAAAAATCATGTTTTTTATCGTGCATAAGAGGAAGATGTAAATACGAAACACAAATCAGTGATAAAAATATAATTACAGAAAGATAATGGCTGGAAAGAAGTTGTTTAACAGTTATGGGTGAAACTGTTTATTTGTATTCTGAGAGTTGGATGAGAAGTTTGGGAACGCTCTCATGTCTGCATATTAAATATGAAGCTACAGACAAAAAACCAAACATTTTTCAGGGTCTGCATGTGTGGGGCTGTTCACAGAGAAGTCGTTTTCAGACAAGTACTGAACTCCGGACATTTTGATCTGGAGGAGCTGTATGTGAGAACACATACGTCAGTGGCTTCCAACATTTCCAACATTTCCTGACAGCCCCCTTGCAAAATAGTTGGAAAATGTCAGGCTAAGCCCACGTGAGAAAACAGCAGGTTAATGTCTGGAGAATTCACAGCGAGTGAGTATACGCATTGATGACGTTTCTAACACGTGGCAGACATAAAAGTGAAGAATGCTTAAAGAATACAAAGAGGATAAAAAAAAATGATAGATAAAAAAGCTTTTGGCTATAAGGGCCGACGCTGGTTTGATGTGGTTTGACCCTTACAACATAAGACTCCAGGATATTTTACCACTTAGATTTTGCTACATTTGGACGATCAGGAAAATCATTTCCCCCCCGTTTCTACTCTACTAAGGTAAATGGATGCTTATCAGAACCTAATGTTTAACCAGCAGATGTGAGATTGACATCGATCTTTTCATCCAACTCTCAGTAAGAAAACAAAAGTATTTCCCAAATTGTCCCAAACTTCTCCTTTATGGAACTGAGAAGAAGATATAGTAAAGAGAATAAAAAATGGTGAGGAAAGAAGGAAAGGTGTGGTTAGGTCAACTTACGGCACTTCTGCTCGTCGCTCAAATCACCACAGTCATTCCAGCCATCGCACTTCAGCTCTTTACGGATGCACATGCCAGTATTACAAGTAAACTTGTCGGGACAAGCTGCTCACAAAACAGAGAAAAGAGGGAGAGAGCAAAGAGGATGGTGACAAATTGAGCGAGGGGGAGCGACAGTGTATTTTCACAACATCCGTCATGTGGCCAATGCTTGTCCCTGTTCATCAGAGCAATTATAAATCTATTTCAGTCAAACTGGGAGACAACATAAAGAGCGGAGGGTATTGAAAGTGGAGTGCTGGTGACTGACAGTGGAAAATAAAATGGACCCAATAAACAAGCTCTCTGGTGATTAGTCTAGCTCTTGAGTTTCACCGCAGCAGTTTCTAAGCCCACTAACAGCTCCATTCCACTGTCAATCAGCCGTCGTCTCGTAGCCTCTCAGACGGTACAGTCACTCCCCTTGTGCTGCTCCATAATGGCAGGCTATGAGTGTCACTGTCACGTCACAACATTTCACCCACCAAGTGTTGAGTCAACGTGGGCGCCAGACAAGACTTTAACTCACGGTTTGCGGGATCATATGCGCTGTACTCGGCGCTGAAGCCTTTATCGGTGTAGGACTCGTCGGAGTGGAAGTGGACTTCCATGATGTTACTGGAACTGGTCAGAGCCAAGTAGGATGTTTCTCCACAGTACCTGTGGCACAAGACCAATGTTTACTTGTCACTTAAGGAATTCTATTGGGAAAAGGCAACATCACTACAAACATGGATGTCCCTAAGTGGAATGCAGACCTCTGCCAAGGCCCAACAGTCCAGATTAAGTATAGAATCACATTTAAAATCATTAGATCCATGATTTTATGTGGATCTGCACCAAAGTGCACACTCTTGTAAGTATCAGTCCTAATGGGCCTGGTTGTTTTTATCAATGCATGAACTATTATCATGAAAATACTGAAAAACCCAAATACAGACAAAAACACAACCTCCTTGGCAAAGGTAAACATTCTAATGGGGCAAGAGATATGAACAGTCAGAGGAGATGGAAACAAACCAACAGTTTAGTTTAACATATTTTATTTGAACGTAAAAATCCTTCATCTCTGTTTTCTCTTCCTGATTAGTCTGATCAACCAGGAGGTTTGTTGAAGATCTGCACGGCTGCTCATGTTTCAGTTGAACTGAAAACAATGTTTTTATTTACTGGTGAGTGGAACGATGCCAGAACTTCATATAAGGAGCCAGGGACATAAAACTGAAATTTTCGAATGAAACACACTCATAGAGGCATGTAAAACATTTATTAATTTACAGACTTCAGTCTTACTTCGTGCCCATAATCTCCACATAGTCTTTGTGACACACACGGTTGTCCACCCCGGGCTCCTTCATGCGGAAAATGTTGAACTTCACCCGCACCTGGTTCCCATCAGGGACCTACAGCACACAGGAAGAGGTGATTGGTTCATAACAACCTTGTTTACCATGCATGCATGTCACTCCCCCCACCTACACACAAAGACATGTATCTGCAGTCAATCTGAAGGAACTGCATACAAGCAACACACACACACACATACACAGGCAGCGAGCACACGAATGCACCTGTGTACATGCTCACACACTCACACACAGTGCTTCAGGCACACCAGCAAACAAAACCAACACAAAATGCCGCAGCTCAGCCAGAGCTGCAGCAGCAGCATCACCCTGACAGATGAAGATAGAAGAGGTACTGAACAGCTTGGCTTCTATAGTGCTGCCTCAGCATTCCTCTCGTGGCAAGCTAAGGATGATGGAGGAGGGGGTTATGGGTAGGGGAGGGGGCCAGGCGGAGGAGGAGCAGTGTCGCAAACCTTGATGGTCCACTTGCAGTCGACGGCAGGAGGATAGAAACTGGGGTGAAGTGGGGAGGTGAAGACTCCTGCTTTTTCAGAGAGGACACCACCGCAGGTTTTCACTGGGGATAACATGTCAGATATTCTCTTATGACACATTGTAATTTACATTGTAGAATTATACAAATCAAATAATAGCAATATAAATAATGTAATTATAAACAAGGTGAACTTTGGCACATATAATAGAGAATACAGATTACACATGGATGACTCATTACCTGTAGACATGGGGATGGCTCTGTATTCTGCCTCAAAGCCAGGCCTCTGGACGTCCGAGTCGGTGATCAAGCTAATCAGCATAATGTTGCCGGATGACACCACCTCCAGTGGGTTGGAGGGAGGCCTCTGACCACACTTCCTGAGAGTAAAAGGATGATCAGTGCACACATCAGGTCCCATTACAGAATTAGTAGGGGAAAAAAGGTGTGTGCAATAATCGTGTAGCACAGGCTGAACGTCTGAGGCATTTAGTAAATGGAGTTTTACAGTTTCTGAGGATGTGCCACGCTTTGGAAAATCAAATACAGATGTGATTCTTTTTGGTCAGAAGCACTAAAACATCAACGCAGCAAACAAGTTTAAAATGCTGGAAAAATAATTTGGAAAAAAAGAAATCAATAGATAAGCAGAGAGAGGCAGAGAAAGAGATAAATAAGGCGAGATGTGCCAACGCTAAATAGAAATTGCTTAGGCAGAGTTTCAAAGTCAAACATTATAGGAACATTACAGAGAAGTTTCAGCACTGCTGGCGGCAGAGCCATGGAGCTGTGAATGACACTGCAAGAACAGCAATACATCTACCTCCAGTACAATAATGTCATTATACAGTATTATATTATGGCTCTCATAAACCCCATGTCACCTTGGATAAAGCTGATCGCTCAATAGCATTATAAAAATGTTATGCATCACTTGGTAACGCATATTTGTTTGGCAATGGTTCCCGAGTTTGAAAATGCCTGCAGCTACAACTGATGTTGCATTCAAGAGCCCGCAGTCTCCGAATTTCACCACTCCCCCGAACACAAAGTAAAATTACACACAGTGGTGTAGCGAGACTCAGGTTTGCACCCATCGCAGATTTGAAAGGAGAGGTCTCTTTGAGCCAACTCAATCTCACTGAGGTCTCAAAAAGTTAACAATAAAACGGGACATGTAGCACAAAAGGCTTCAGAGCCAAGAAGGGAAAAAAACGGTTGTAATCACAAATGCTGTGAAAGGAATGAAGTGGAACATGTTTTCCACCCACATCAAAACAGCTTTTGCTCCTAAATCCCTCTGCAACATTTCAGTCAAATACAAAGTGATTCCTGCTGCTTGTCCTCTGGGAATCATGTCGAGCTATATCCCCCCTCTCTCTGATCTTCAAGGCGTAATAAATGAGACAAATGTTGGTTGAGCCCTATCAAACAAACCCTGCAACCAAGGTTCAAGGCAAAGACAGAATGTGATTTGTGTCACAATTTGAAGACGACTGAATTTACTGGTTTTCTCTCAAATGAAATGCCTCTCAGGTGGAGGCATTAGTGCAAAGAATACTGCACACTGTGAGCAAATTATATGACAACTGATCCACCCATGAAGGATTTAACCTTTAAAGAGCACCAGTATGACTTCTTACCGACATGTTTCCCAAACCCTCCCTCCAGGCATTTGCAGCCCTATGACTTACTCCGTGATGGCCTGAGAATCATCGGGACTCAGAGAGTCATAGATGGAGACAAAGTCGTCCGAGCAGTCATCCTCGATGTGGAAAAAAGGGAAAGCGATGGATATGGCTTGGTTCTCTGACGTTCGGATTTGCCACTGACACCTTGATTTGGGGGGGTAGCCCTTGGGGTACCCTGGAGACGAGAACTTCTTACCCTTTTCTTCAGCCTCCAGGCGAAAGAAACACTCCGCTGGAAACAGCCACACAGGTTACACATTTTGTCAACAGGTAAATGGAAGAAGGAGGATTAAAATCTGATCATCTTCCTCTTCACTGTTGACATCACATCATAAATAACAGCCAAGCAGAGTGCAGTTATTACTTCCACATAGAGTTTTACTACACACATTACAAATTATGTATGCTGCAAAAACATTTCTCTTAATTTTTAAAGCACAACAGAAGTAGCATTAAAATGAACGTTATAATTAGGCCCTACTTACCATTACACTGTCCTGACTCTTTATCGTCTTTTAAATCTTAAACACACATTCTTATAGATTTGCTTACTCCTAGTTCAGATCCTATCGTCTATTTGGATTATTTTATAATGTTTTATTTCATCTTGTTTTTACTCTTCTCATCTGTACATTTTTTTTTATCTCTATCTCCATGCACTATTGCTGTGTGATCCTTAAATTGCTTTTCATAGTTTCCTATTGTTTGCCTTTAACATTTTGGTAACACTTTATATTAGGGAACACATATCAACCATTAACTAGTTGCTTATGAGCATGGATATTAGAGGCATATTGGCTCTTTATTAGTCATTATAAAGCACTTATTAATGCCTTATTCTTAATGTCCTTATTCTGCAACTACTCCATTGATTAACAGTTTTCCCTCAATAACCTCCTAATTACTGCTTATTGATGGTAAGTAAGGAAGTTGTTGAAAATTAATTACAATCAAGTGCTTGGATGTGTTCACTTTGTGTGTTCCCTAATATAAAGTGTTACCAACTTTTTATTTTTAACTTGTAAAGCACTTTGTAACTGTTTTGAAAGATGCAATACAAATAAAGTGTATGATGATTATTAATAATAATAATAATAATAAATATGACCTAAAAGTATTTAAAACATTTTAAAGGCCTAAAGTTTAGATCATTAAATTTTAGGCTTTTTAGGATGCTGCAGAAACTTGTTTATGCAACAAAAGGATCTAAAGACAGATGTTAAAACAGTACACCTCCTGTGGTGACATAATGTAATACAGTCTAATTCTGCCAAGGTTATAAATCAGCAGACAGTGACAAAGAACAGTACAGCACATAGTGACTGACTCGGCCAGCCTGATACAGGGTTCTCAATCTACGACTCGCACGGCACATGTACAGTACAGGCCAGCCATTCGTTACACACTGGCAGGAGGGTGAACATCTAGCCAGCTGGAAAATTACAGCTACGAGTGATTGAAATGGGACGCGCTGTACTCACTGGCACTGGGTTTCCTGGCCATGCGAGGATCTGTGACTGGAGACGGAGAGAGAGGGAAGGAGAGAGAGAGAGAAACAGGAGGTAAAGGTAAGAATGGGTCACTAAAGTCGGGAGGCTGATAGAATTTGATGCATGAGCCTAAAATATTTGGGTTGCACATTTTCTGTTCCATTTCCCGTCGGTTAAGAGAACCGGCAATGGCGTGTAGCTCTTTCTGCTCCATCTCACCTTACCCTACAGCAGCAAGCCATACATCTCTGTCTAACTATCTGGGACAGCAACATCAAATCATACCCACAGAAATCATTTTAAAAGAGGACCAAAAACCACTGAGTCACAGGGGCCGGTGCTTGGATGTTGGCCAGGAAATGGACAAATGCAACGTGAATGCTGAGAAGACAGAAGGAAGAAAAATGGCTGTCTCGAGCCAGGCCAGGGCCCAGCTAATATCATTAGAGGATCCAAACAGCATAAAATGTGCAATCTCAGATGCAGCACAAGCCGAGAGGTCTGGCTTATCTATTATCATCTTATCAGCACAAATCAGAGCAAGCTCCTAAAATACAAATGGAAAGCTTACGGAATACCAATGCTGATAGGAGATGACAATGACCTTATTCAAATCTGTATTCACTGCGCTTTATCTTCTATCTTTGTTAAATGTCACATTCTGGAGCCAGCTGTAGTAAACACCGAGTTGTCCCCCATCTCTGTGCCCCTTGAGGTGACCCCCACCTCCCCCGGCCTGTGTGGTACAAACCCGAGGTGGTGACTTCACGGATCTTTATGTTGCCCATGGTGCGCTGCATGTTCAGGCTGCTCTCCAGTGCGTCCAACACCCGCTCCTCTGAGAACTCAGGCACAATCTCCAGGTCATCGGGTGGGATATCAAACTGGGACCAGTAGTAGGCTATCACACCCTCACTGGTGCAAGAGAAAGGAGGGAAAGAAAGAAAACTTATCAAGATTTAAAATAGGGTAAGATTAGTGGAACATGGGTGATGTTTCAATTTTCTGCAAAATCAACAAAAAAAGCCAATTCCAGCTGTACCTGCCTCCTCTGTCCACGTCCTGCGTACTGCACGGTTTGAACTGTTATAATTCACTGCCACTGTTAGTGCAGCTCTTCATAATTCACTACACACAAGTCATGAGTGAACAGACCACATCAAACCTTAATTCAGGACGTGCTGCAAAATGCAGCGGACATCAAACTAAGAACCCTCACAGATCGGTGCAACAAAGCTTTTCCTTCATACAAGATTCAGTGTGACGTCCTCAGAAGCATTACTGACTGTTGAGCAGCATAAAAAAATTAGATGGAGCTCGAGATCTCAACGGTACCTGAACGCAGTGACCATCGATTTAGTGTAGTGTTCTCCCAGCAATGGATCTGTCTTGTAGGTTTCCCCCAGCTGTGGAGAGAAAAAAAATGTGTTTTACTCCACTGTACAAGGTTTCTGCTTGTCTGCCTAAAGACAAAGTACAAATGAGCATGTTAACATAAAAAACTGCCTCCACGCAAAGCACACAACAGTGGGATTCTCAATTAACTGTCTTGCCTTCAGCTGCAAGGATACAGACGGTTGGTGGGTGTGAATGCAGGTCCATAGCATTCCTTACCATATATACTATGCATCTACAGTACAGTGTTAAGAAAAAAAATCTCTTTCATTTGTAAGGTTTGTGATAAAAGTGAAATGGAAGGAGAGGAGGTGTTTACAAACAGAGCAATTAGTTAACATGAAATAAAAAATATCATGTCCAGTTTAAAAATTTACATTTTGGTCATTCCATGTCAAATCATTTCACTTTTGTTTCAGTGTCACAGATCTTAATGACATACACATTTTTAACATTTCACTGAAACACACTAGTGAAAACGTCACTAGGATTATTTTACATTCAATTTCTGCAAATAGATCCTTTTCATCTAAATCTTACACACTGGACCTTTAAGGGGGATATGGCCTAATGAATGTGGTTCAGGAGGTACATCCACTAACTAGAGGGTTGGCGGTTCGATCCCTGTCTCCCCCATTCCACGGGCCGAAGTGTCCTTGGGATAAGATACTGAACGCCAAATTGCCCCCAGTGTGATTGATGTGTGATAAAGAAAGTACTGCACAACTGTACTGTAAAGCACTTTAAATGGTCATCGAGACTAGAAAAGTGCTATAAAAATACAGACCATTTACAGTAAATTATGGTTCTATAGTTTTCTCATATGACCAGCGTGTGACTGTGCGATGGCTGAATTAAAAAAATTATCCACTTCTAAATTTAACAACATGAAAAGCAGAGCAGATTAGATTTAAATTTCCCTAGACAGGTGGTGCTATTGAGTGTTAGAGTGAAGTTGTGGGATAACTGGTTAAACATGCTCAGTGTTGTTTACTCGAGGCCAAACCCCCACAAGTCATACCTGCCGTGTAAACAGCATCTGACATCAGCAGCGATCTGAAAGTCCTCTTTGTTTTATGCAAGAACAAATGTAGAACATCATAAAGCTCTTCCCCAGTCGTCTCATCATCTAAAATTCACCCCCCACCCTTCCACTCTAACTCTCAGCCGACACTCTCACTTCAGTGGCTTTTCACTGAGGAAGTGAGCGCTTGATGGGTTTTCAGCTAGGTTTTTTTTTTCCTTTTTGTTATCAACATGCTCCTAAGTGGTGCTACAAACATCTCCACTGTCTACAATAATAGGAGATGCTGTTGAGGGAATTACTGAGGGAATGTACAGCCTTTTGTTTCCACCCACACAACTGTGCTTTCAGCAGTCTCAGTGCACTGCGAGGGGTATATTTAAAAAGCATTTCCACATCGTCAAACAAAACCCACAGCTAATCCTTCACTGGGTGTAATACTCTGCTCAGAATAGTTAACAATAAACAATATAGATGATCGGGGGCAAAAAGGGAGATGGAAAATAAGAAAGTCTTTTTTCGAGTGTCAAACTCACAACTGCCTCCAGCTTCTGTGCCAAATCTTTGAATTCCTTGCTGTTTGTGTCCTCCAGATCCTGAGCATAGGGTACACCAGTCAGCTTCATGTGCCCACTGAAGAGCTGCGTTGACATGCTCCGCTTCCTGCTGAGGGTGGCTTCTGAATCCTCATCCTTAACTTATAGGGGGAGAGAGGCAGATGAGAGTTGAGTGTTTGATCAACAAAATGTTATAAGATGGCTGCCTCTGATGAAAGAGGAGACTTTGGGGCCTTGAAGCACTTTTTTTAAAAGTTGCATAGCGTGGTCTGATATCGAGAAGACAGTTTTGGCTCTCTTAGCAATTAAAACCGCCAGTTGAATCAAGACGCTGTTTATCAAGACTTCAGAGGCCTTTTCATCAGACCCTGTGTGTGTAAACGACAGGGAAGCTGCGCCCGTGGACTCTGTGACATTCGTCTCCTTTCCATTATTAAAGGAGAAAGGCAGAGCTGTCAAAAAGGCGAACACTAATGGGAAATTACAAAGTCCAAACAAGCCACTTTTAAACTCATATCAAAGAGCTGTGCCTTCACAGCCAGTGGAAATGATCCACTTTACAGAGGCTGCTGTTAGTGATGTAAACACTCTGAGCTCCTCATTTAATTCTATTTACAATAACCTTGTTTAATACTCAAAAATATCCAGAGGACGCCAAACATCTCATGGTTTTTATGATTTTTTAAAAATATATCCAAATTTATACTCACAGACAAACAGCCAAATGAGGAATGCTGCAACAGCTGCAAGGACGAGAACTGCCAAAAGAACCCCGACAATGATGCCGGTTTTCCGCTTTGACGACTTCTTCTCTTTGCTGGTCAAGAAGTCGATCCGCTCATGGTTACCATTCTGACCCTGATCGAGAAAACAGAGTCAACAAACATACAGTGATTATGTTCAGTGTGGAAATGACATTACACTGTAAAGTACAATGAGAGCTGTATCCCAACAGAGTGTAGTGGACATTAATGTGAATAACTAAACTTTCTTTCATAACAAAAAACCTGAATCTCCAAATTATGCATCATGGATTTGACCATTGGTCACAGTTTTTGACAGAACAAATTACAATTCATCCCGATTCAATGAAGATAAATAACACAGGCTCTTTAGCTGGAAACCTCCATTAGCCCAAGCGATTTATTGGTTGGCTGATAATAATTTAACTGTTAAATAAATAAACTGATATAAATGGATCTGCGTTTATATTTTACCTTTATTTGACAGAATAAAAAGTGCAGATAAATGTGTATTTATGTTTATTTCCTTTATTCAGGTTCTATATATCTGGCATTATTTTGTGTTTTCATATTCAGTTATTTATAATAAAGCTTATGTATAAATGTAAAATATCTAGCCTCAATTACATTTCTTTGTCATTAGGGTTTATTAACAACCTCTCATTTTTGAAAATGAATAAATATTGGCAGATATATTTATATCAGAATGTTTAACTTCCTAATATCGCTATTAAAAATATCCATATCAGTCAGGCTATATACTTACATACTAGTAGGTCACATCATATCACTAGGAACAGAGGACAAAACACTGGAAACACCCTAATTCTACAACTGAAACAACAAATCAAACCTAGACTTTTATATAGTTTTTGTTTTTTTTACAGTCAAACATGTTTGACCAGTTTGTACAAAAAGCTGATTTGTTAAACGATGTAAAACAAGATCACATGTAAACGGCAGTTCCACTTCTTGGTATTTAAGTGATTGTTTAAGTTTTTAACTGCTGACCTATGACATGTATTTTAAAGAAATTGATGTGAAACGCCCCACACTGTTTTCCAAGAGCGACATGCTCAAACAGGCAGCGTGTATACGTTTGCAAAAGTGGTCAAACCAGTTCAGTAAATGTGACAGAGCTCCCACACTCATACCCCATGTACACACATATCCACACACACTTTTCTAGTCTTACATGCATACTGAATATTCATAACTAAGGGCACACCTTGTTGAGAATACGGGCGCGGTGCTTTGAGCTGCGTGCGTCTTCTTTCTGTCGATACTGTAAGCGTGTGTGTTGTTGAGCTCATTCAAGTGGGTGGACGGAGAGAAAAGGTTTGGGTCTGCTTCAGCAATCAACACACAATGAATTCAGCGAGTGTAGCCCATGAGTGAAGAAGCCCAAGTGCCATTAGTGATGAAGAATCACTTTGGTATTAAATCAATTTGTCAGATGTGCTGCCCCTTAAGATGGGGGCTCAATTACACAAGTCTAGATGATAACTCATGGCAATTAAGGCCTATTCTTACCCAAGCCAGGCTTCCACACATGCTTTCTAATTGGAATCTTGAACAGCAATCATGGGCCAGAATGAGGCGAATCATTAGAGACGGGGTCAGCAAGTGCTCCAGGGTCTCTCTCTATCAGTCAGCCTGATCACAGCTTAATAAAACCATTACATGCTCTTCATCATATCCCATTCTTCACCCCTACAAAGAAACACCACCCATTTTGAAACTCTGTGGAGCTTTTTTTAAACATCAGCGCAGTGTGCTAATCCATATTAAACAGGAAGTAGTATCTGTATGTCTGTCTCTCAACACAGAATCGTGAGGAAACGCCACAAAACGCTGCGAACTGTTGAAAAACTTTATGTTTTACAAGAAAAGAATCTGAGCTGTGTAACAGGCCTTGAGTTTGGTGAGGTAAAACTTGCAGGTGAACACAAAGCGCGAGGGAAAAGTCGACAGAGAGATTTTCTAAGTAGAATAACCAGTCTGGAGAAGACGCTGCCACCGCTGTGAGGTGTGGTTTAGACAAGGAAGAAAAAAAAACAGCTCACAGCTCAGCCTCCAGCAGGATTTGCTACTTCCACACAAGTCCTTATTAAAAACGATTTATCACATTCATCCAAAACTCTAGTTAGAATAAAGCCGAGATTGAATGTATTAAGTATAACTTTGAAATACTCAAAATTGATTATTTCTGATTGTATTGATTTTTTTTAAATTTATGTGATGACCACATTTACTAACCCAACAAACAAAAACAGTCATCAGAGTAGGAGAAGTCATTTTCAACATTTAAATACGTTACTTCTGTCAGGTTTAACATACAACACTCAACTTAGCGGCCACTAGGGGCCTCTCAATCAAATTGATAATAAAAGACCTAGTTGGATGACTTCGTGAAGCAGCGTGGGATCATGGGAGATGTCTTCACCACTGTTCGCAAATCTTGTTCATGGATGAAAAAATGTATTAGAGTTGTCTTCATGTTACGCAGCAAACAGCAATAAATCCATTACGAGTGACCAATACAAAGGGTGGAACTGACGAACTGGCTAACGTGTTTTCTTCCCTTGTCATACATGGTTTGCCCCAGAAGTTAAAGCAAAGACGGATAAAGCCACAGGTAAAGTGGATATGACTCAGTTAAGAGGCGACAAAAATGAAACATCCCGTTGTATCGAATGAAATTGTGGGTTTTGAACATTGTTGGAAACCTTGCGTATAATAAAGTCCACAAATCAACAACAACTCTAGTAGTTTGTCGACATTTTAATGAAGAATTTTTGCATATTATAACTTTAATACATCAATAACGGGGATATTTTTCAGTTTGTCTTTTTTGAAACTTAAATATATATGTTATTGATTATCCTGCTGAATTTTAAAAATATATAAATATTAAATACAAAAACTTAACAGTCTTGATTTTCCATTAATTCAGAGAGCACACTGAAGCAGACTATTTTTCCGCCACCGATCCATTCAGGTCTGCCAAGCTGACCTCAAGTTTCCACGCTCAATAAATCAAACATCAATATATAATGCTACAGAGCACAGTGTTGGGAAAAACATCTTTAAAAAAAAAAAAGCCCTAAACAACATTAGTCTTGTGCAGTTGATCCACATGAAAAGTAAGGGAAGGCATAGAAAATGGGAAATAATAAAGAAATAGTGAGATTGACTGATTAAAAAATTATATTTTGTCCAAAATATAAACAGTTTGTGTTAATAGATGGTAATATGGCCGATACTTTAGAGAAAGATACACTGACACTGGCTGGTGACTCATTTCTCTCTATCTGTATGAGTTCAGTTTGAGTCTGGTGATGTGTGGAGGCTGGAGGCTGCCAACTGCCTCCTACTGCAGAAGATTTACCAGACTTCTTTTTCTTTTACAGTCGCACACCTTCTAATTTTAGCTTCTCCTCTCTAATTTCTTCAACCGCACCTCATCTCTCATGTGAATCGAAAGCAGCTGCCGACAATCACAGTTTACATGGTATCTGTAGTAAAACATTTAGACATGTCAGGTGAGAAAATAACAATAACACTAATAATAATAATAATATTAATAACAATCTTTATTTATGTAGCACCTTGTAAAACACAATAATAAGGTGCTTTATACGTTAGAAATGAAAAATGTACAAAAATAGGAAATTCCTTGAGGAACAGTTGCAGAAATAAAAAATGTTGTCACACTATTATGTCTTCTCAACTATGTGTTCATCTAGGTGCAGCCTGACAGTCTGCTGATTATTCTGCACCATGTTTGTCATTACCATTGTAAAATAATACAAGATGCAGAAAGAAATACAGCCCTAACATTTATAAAACATGTAGAGCGACTTCTCCAACGCACTTATGGGTCCAACGTCTATTTCTTTTTTCTTGAGGAAGTATCTCAACACACCTTGTACATTTTCTACAAGTTGGCTCTGGGCTACAGCTTGAAAGACTGCTCCACCCTTTCACAATTCTTCCTCCTCGTCAAAAACCTGGCACCTACATTACCAACCATAAAACTCGACCACTGACAGTTCAGTCAAAGTTTGTCAGAGGTCGAGGTGTGTTTTTCTAGCTGTGGCAAATGTAGCCCCTGAAGCCCTAAAGCAGAGATGAGGAGCTGGCTTCAGACGTCTGGTAACCTCACGTCTTTCTAACTCCACTCCCCACCCCCCCGAGATTTTATTTCTTATAATTTATGAATTTCTCTTCGAGTCTTTAGTCGTTCATGAGGTAGATTTGGATTTGGGCAATTAAGATTCTGATAGGTGACATGGCATAAGATCTTATAAAAATGTTAATATTCTAAATCTGTCTATACTGATATTATCCCAATAAATGTCACATTATTATTTTAAGGCTTATTTTTGCTCCTGAGTGAAGGTTGTAGTTTTAAACTTTTCTTGTTCTTGTAGGATGCAGGATATTTTACAAATATGTGGTAGATCAGCCGTGTTTCACTGTGCTTGCACAATTCATAAGCTTTACATCTATATAGAAACTTTTGTATATTGCTATTGATGAAAATTATATCGGAATAACTATGTTAGTTATGTTACTGTTTTATTGTTGCCTCAAACTAATATTGGCTTCATCGAGAGCCGCATAAGATTTCATACAATTTTTTTCACGTGTTGGCAGTACTTCTCATGACATACAGTATGAACAAGCCTCGACGTGTAAAATTGGTGGACTTCTTTCAAAAGTTCCCATGCCTTCTCCGCACTCACCAACACTGATGTATCCAAACAATCCAGCCCGCAGAACAAATGGCCCGATCAAATGCGACAGCCAATCAATGCTGGCTTTATTTATTTATCCTTTATTTAACCAGGATGGTACAATATCTCTTCTGCCGGCGAGTCCTGGTCAAAACAGGCAGCAATTGAAATAATAATTTAGGCTTCAGCGGTCTTACATTTCCTTTCAGTAAACAAAGGCTGACACACACATCTCTGCCCTGGCAGTACCCCCGAGCAGACGTTAGCAGTTAGCCTTTTATAGGCCATACTGCAGCATCAGCCAGGAAGCTGTGTCAGGAAGCCTCAGCCTCAAGACATAAGCCATGATACGACCACCTGGCAGAAAGTTGTCAACTAATAACCCTCGGTGCATTTTTCCATACCGAAGAACTGAAGAAGACTAAAGGATGAGTAAATCTGTTGCTTCTGATACAATGAGGCAAACTCCATCGACTATTATAATTTTACAGAAGATGGTCACATGCAGGTGCAGCTAAAAGGCAAACACAGCCCATGTTAAAGATTAAACTTGCCCTCTTCCAGCTTTGTTAGCATTTCTGAATGCATCATTCAGTGGAGTCAATAAGAGATGTGACATCAGTGCTGCGTTCACTTGACTTCTGTTGCTCAGTTTCAACACGACTACCCTTGAAATGTAGAAAAACAGCGCGGCCTTGCCTGAAGAAGCGTTCGGTGATTTCACCAAACCAACAGAGAACAGACAAACAGCATTAATCACAGTGCTTCCATTTGATCCACTTTCTAAGATCGGCCTCATTGTCTGTGTGTAATCAAATATCAGAAATAAATGTTAATTTATCAACACTTTCACTTAACAAGTATCTCAGCTTTCAGAAAAAGGACGATCAGAATTATGTTATTCCAACTTTGTGTTTGTATTAGATTTTTTTTTAAATGCACATTATTTTGAAACTGGCTCAATAAAGAGTTTTGGGTGGTTTATCCATGTAAATTAAAAAATTGTGTTTACATATAAAATCCATCCTTATCCTTTTCCACATAGATAAAAATACTATGTTTATTCATGCTCAGTCATTCACATACATATTTGCCACAATTAATTTCTTAAACAAAAGACAGAACTGAATAATTATTTTAATTCACGTTGATATTCAGCTCATCCTTTCTTTTGGAAATCTCACACACTTCTCTCTAAAGATTAAGCGACATCATTTTGAGAAAGAAAAAAGCTGCACGTGGTTTTGCTTAGTTTTTTACCCCCGCTGCATCTTAACAAAAACAATGTCAAGCTAGAACAAGTTTGGCAGATCAAGAGTAAATACCTCGCAGTGTGAGCATCCTGTTATCTCACATGGCACTTGGAGGTATTCTGACAATGTGCCACTGATTCTTATAAGTTCTTGTTAAAGTCTCTCCATAGTCAGGGAGAAAAGGGGTTTTCTCAGCTGTAACCTCCTTATTTTTTGCTCATGTTCTTAGCAGTATACAGCATACAGAGGAACTGCAGTTTGTGTTTCCACAGTTTTCATAAAGCTGTCAGACAAAGGTTGTAGTGAGCAGGTAAGTGTGAGCAGAACTGATCAGACCTCGTAACCATTAATGAATCCCTTAAAAAGAAAAGTAAATCTACGGTCGTGGGTCGCTATTTTTTGTCCATGTCCTTGCACTGGAATTTCATAAGACGGAATTATGTAGTAATAAGAACTATAAGGGTTTTTACACAATATTTTCATGTACCAGGAGAATATCACATAAAAGACAGGGGGAACATTTTCTTCAATAAAATACAGGCCTGCTTAAATCTTACATTCCAAGGGCCAAACCTGTTCTAAACTCAAACAAATCTGTTTTAAAACCAGATGACACTGTTTTATAATCGGACAAACCTGTTCTAAAATCCGAAACATCTTATCAGCTCAATTCAACCACAGAAATCAGACAAAACTGTTCTGCAATACTAAGTCAACATGTTTCACCAAGAAGTGCACCTTTACCTGTTGTGATACAACCGCAGCCAGTGGATATTAAAGCATCAACTCGCTGAATGTTGCTGGCAACTGTGCTACTGATGCCTCACAGTGGAAATAAATAGTTACACACAATGATTCTTAAAAAATCCAGGTGTGGTTCAAGGAACCGTTTGAATGTCAGTCAGAAAACAAATACTACACACTTCCTGTGTCGAGAAATTATATATTTTTTTATGCTTTGGTTTTTACCACAGTAAATGACATAGAACCAGCTTTAATCAGAAACTAATTACTTTCATAAATTCAGCAGAAACATAAAAGAAAACTAGCAGTTTAAACACATTAATACTGACACAGTACGCCTGACTGAGGCTTTGTAAGTCTCTAGCTCTCTTTGTAATGGGGAACAGCACAGACTGACTCTTCTTAATATCATAATGCTGAGTGGTGGATTGCAGAAATGGTTCATCCAGCTTTGATATGTTTCTCTATATATGAAGCTTCAAAGAATTATCTTTTAAAAGGTAAACGTCAAGTCAGAAAATGCTGTGGCACCTACGACTTCACTCAACTGCTTGGTGAAGGACATAGATGAAGCATTACTTCAGTGTGATAAAAGATTCTGCAGAATCCTTTATTTAATCAACCACATTTCAAACAATTACTTAATATTTAATTTAGTTATATTGTATAATTTATCACAGCATCTTCCTTTTTCTTTCTATCGGAAGGCAAAGAGGATGTGAATAAACAATCATTCCCTTTTCAAACGCACATGTTGACTTCAGATTCAAAACCTCTTTTGCCTCAGTGTGACAGAAGCTCTGGCCTAAAGAAAAACACCACAAGAGGACTGGTTTTTGAAGTGGCACGGGTTTAATTATTCACTCATAAGTCTATGATGGAGCGGAAGACTCTAGTGTTTAGTGCTGAACCTGGAGGCCACAAACAAACTGCTGTTTAAATGAAGTTAACCTTAAGCGAGCGCTGTCACAGGCTCAAGGTATGAGGAGCAAGTGTTTGACATACCAGTCACTTCATTGAGGCTACACACAAACACACACAGACTTATATCCTAGTGAGGACACTTGTTGACATAATACAGTATTTTCCCAAGCCCTTTAGCCTAACCTAACCTTAAACATCCAAACTTAATCCCAAACCCTAATCCAAACCTTAATTCTAACCCTAATCTTTACCCTCAAAGAGCCCATTGAAAAAGTGATGACCTGTCAAAATGTCCTCACTCTGTTGGGTCTTTGCTTCCTAAAGTACAGGAATGTCCCCAGTCTTAACCAGCACCAACTTAAGTATTACCCTAACCTTAACCAGCACCTTAAGGTTTGGTCCCCATAAGGTCAGTGTTCATATACTGGGAAAGGTCCCAAAGAAGTATACATCTATATATCTATAGATACACACACACACACACACACACACACACACACACACACA